TTGGTGTCACTCTGAAGCTGCATGAGGGCCTTCTCAATTTTCTGGATCTGCTCACCCTGGGAGTTGAGCTTGGCTGCGTGCTCTTGGAACTTGGCTTCTGTAGGTCCTGTGAGGTCCTTCGGTTGTGCTGGCTGCATCTTGTTAGCATTGTATCCAGCCCAAGGATCAAAGTGAGGGCTGGTCTGGTCCGTTGACGCACTTGACATGGCATTGCGATCAACTTTACGTGGCATTGGTCCTGCTACGATCGGATTCCCATTTGCAGTGTCTTTCGGAGGCAAATGCTTGATGAGAATGGGACGATTATTGAACAGCTGAAGACCTGGTGGTGGCATATCGCAACTACCAATGAGCCAGGAATTGGGACCCAGCGCTTTGATTGCCTTGAAAGTCCAACCAATATTGTTGGCCCACTGCTCAAGTATTGCCGCAGTGGTACCATATGGCAAACTCTGCAGTTGGAACATGTGGTGAACCTCTTGAACCTTAGGTGCTTCCTTTCCAGGGAAAATCACAGCCCAAGCCCGGTCAAAGTCTTTGGATGAGAAGCGAAGACCCATCGACTTTTGATTCTTCACCAAACCTGCACAGCAAGACGTTTTTGATGCAAGGCTCGTCAAATGGGCAATTGAACCTTCTACCCATACAATTCTCCAGGATGTGTCAAGGCGACCTTGATTGTTCTTAGGGGTCAACCACAACTTATTAAATCCGGATGCATTCAAGGCTTCGAGGATTCGGTCTCCAGCAATGGTGGCATGGAACTGTACACTAGTTGCATGATAACTAGTGGTTGGCATCCTGTCTTTGCGAACGGATTTTCCCCATGTGGACTGCAAAAGATCGGAAAGCCCCTGCGCAGCAAGAATTTGACGGGCATAAGAGAATGGCTGATCCACAATCTGCTTCCATTCATCAACTGACCAATCCTCTTTCCAATAGGTGATCGACACTGTACTGCATGATTGTTCATCAATGATTGGCATTTCTGAGACATGGGTTCGTACCACCTTCTCTCCAAGTTGCACCAGGGTCGCTTTAAGGATGACTGGCCTGGAATCTGAGTCTTGGCATGGCACATGAAGGCATTGTGTCTTGAGCGTCGTCTGAAGATTCTCATGGTGTCCTAGGATTACCATAGCAAGCTCATCAGCAGAAATAATCTGCTGCTCTCGAAGCCATGGGAGGGCTTGATCAAAGCTCATGAGCATGACCCCGCAGCTCTTGTGTCTGATTTCATGGAGTTGCGGAAGCTTTTCATCATTTTCTGCAAGGAAGAACGAAGGCTCAATCCGATAATCTGCAGGGTTGACATTGATTGCAACACGCTTTCTGGCTTTGTTCATGCCTACCTGTGCAACTTTCTGTGCTGACTTGGAGACTGCAAGTGGTGGCGAAAGTTCACATTGTTCACAAAGCTGCAAGATGCTGTCAAGACGTTGTTTGCCCGGAGGCAAGTTTGAGACCTGTGTGATTTGCTTCAATCCAACCAACGCAACAAGTTTCTCCGTTGCTTCACTGACCCAGTTGAAAGGAAATCCTTGCTCAAGCAAAGTGGCAGCAAGACTATTTCTCACATAGGTCTTCTGATTGTCCTTTGTGCCTGCACCTCCACTCATCTCTTTCATAAGCTGGATCATCACAAAGTTCGCATGTGTTTCCGAAAGGAGCTGTTCAATCGAAACATTGCAGCATTGCTTGGCTTTGTGAATCATGCGCATGTCCCTACCAAGGAGTTCAGGAAAGCATGTGAGTTGAAGCAAAGATCCAATCAGCTGTGCGTTCACATCTCCTACCAACAAACCATCCCAGATTGCTTTGGATTGCCACTTCAAAATGACCCTGGTTCCATTGGGATCACTGAGTGTATCAAAAATCTGACGCGTGGCAGCAATTGACAGAATTCTGGCAATGGCGGATGCAGGAATGGGCAAGGAAGAGGAATATGTCACTACTCCTCCATTCGGCAGAAGCTGCGTATGGGTGGTCATCTTCAAATGATCACGTGTCTTTGCATCAAGAACATTGGCCCAAAAATGCATCATTGTTTTCACAGGCGTGTCCTCTCCAGTAAAGTTGAAACATACTGACAAAGTGTCTGTGTCCGAAAGGAATGACATCTGTGCTTTCTTGTACGCAGCAAGTACCATGCATGCATGTTGATCCAAAGGTTTGTGCAAAATGCGAAAGGTCATCATCATCGTACGAAATGTGAACTGCTGGCCTACTGCAACAATGCCAAATTGGTCAAAGGTGAGACCGGACAGTCCCAAATCGTCAAGTTGCTTTTGGATGGGCTTTTGAACATCAAGCTGAATAAACAAGAGTCTACCTTCATTGATGCATGGTGTGGCAAATGTGTCGCAAGTCTCAAGGTCAGCAAGGTGAATCTGTCGTGTCATGAGCATGGCAAAACCATCTGGATTGTTCACACATTCCTCAATCTTGAATTGGTGATCAAACTGCCATGAAAGGTCACATGGTCGAACATTTGACACTGCCCAAAGTTCAAATTTCGTAATCTCAGTCAAGATTTGGATTCTCAGCATGGGCTGAAATGGCACGGTGCTCGAAAGAATGACCGGTTCATCTTCATCAATTTCCGTTGGCAGCGTGATTTGTGAGGTGTTGACTGCAGCTGTTTCAGGATGCATGAGTGTATCGTTGTGAATGAGGCCATGTTCAGGATGCCAGGAATGGTGCGGCTGCAGTCTGAAGTGGTCATCACGATTGTCAATCACATCAAAAGCTTGCAAATGCTTCTGCCAATCTCTTGTTCTGTCATTTTTGGGAACAAAGAACTGAGCTGTTTGGCTGGTAAAATGGTCGGATTCATCTGCTCTCAAACGATTCTGCAGCAATGTATGGAAAACCTCGGTGAGATCCAAATTGGATTTCAGGTTCTTGAGAGCTTTGATGCCATGAATCAATAGGAGAAGCGCATGTGGGCATGTGATCATATTACCAGCATGTTCCCATGATTTCTGCAAATCATTCGTCACGAAAGAGCAACCATATGTGATATGGCACATATGAATTTCCGCAGGATGTAGCAGTCGCAATTGGTTGTGTTCGTCTTGAAAGAAATGCCCATAGTATCCTTTGGTCTCCAAAGTGGAACGATTCAAAGCATGTTGCATCCCATATCTGGCCATGATGGTCGGGAACACTTCACTGCCAGTCTTGCATCTCATTTTCAAGAGTTCTTTGCCCGTTTTGTTTCTGTGTTCCTTCAAAGCAGGTGGCAACATTGTGGTATCCATGGCACATGAAATCATTTCCTGCGTTGTTCTGAGCTTGATTGTATCTGGCACAGGGGACGCAAAGACAGATTTGAGGATGTCCGGAAGCAATTGTTCTACTTTTGGCCAATTCTCAAACTGGGGGATTTCTACATCTGAGGCATGCCTGCGTACTGCCATGGCCAACCATCTGATTCGTGTGACACATCCAAACTCAGCTGAGTCCAACACTCGTTGCCACAGGATTTGGTATCCTACATGCTTCAAAACATCCAAACAAAGCCTCTTGTGTTGGTGTGTTGAGAAACCCTGCACCTGTTCCAACAGGACAACTTTGGGACGCAGTTGACGACACCTAAGGATCATGGCTGGAAGGAGACATCCAATATCCGAATGCAAACCAGGTCCGGAAGAAGCTCCAGACCAGGGTGGGCATGGTGCAGAAACTGTCATTATGTGGATACCCCATCTGGCTGCAATGGGTACCCACACATCATCATCGGCATCAGCATGGATGACAACATCACATGTCAACTTATCCACATCAATTTCTGGCTTGCAATTGGTGGCTTCAACAACTACTGCATTATGCATCATGGCATAGTGGCAACATGCGTCAAGGCTTTCGTCCAAGGCCATGGTCATGATTGGAATGTTATATAGGTCTTTCAGTGCATTGCAGGCAACTTTCCAACCCCCATAACCCCCAGAAAAGGCTTCAAACACATGAATGCATTGACCTACGGGATCTTTGATTGGCAAGATCATCGTGGCATGATCTACGACCCATGCAGCTTGGCTCTGCAATGGGAAGGCATGGGAATCTACAACATTCCACAGCAACAACTTTCGGTCCTGAGGCAGCTTCATGTCATGAGGAATTTCAATCTGGATTGCACCCCCAAAGGTTCGATCACACAAGTTGGGAAAACATCCGTCCTGGAACATTGCAAGGCTACCCCCTTCCACTGCAGTCTGAACACCATTGAAAAATTTGGAATGATCATGTTCGCATTCCACATCATGGAGAAGTACGTGATGACGATCTTTACACCATGGGGTACCTGGAGATCCATAAATGTCAAATTCCCCCAGCAAATGCTCCAATTTGGGAGGCAGCACACGAAACATGGCGAGGTCCAATTAGGCTGCCAGCGATGCAGCACACTCACACGTCGGGTACGTTTGGACCAAATGAGCATCTGAAATAAGGTTATTTTGGGATGATTTCCCGAATCCTAACCATTCTTCCAGGCTTCGGTCGCAGTGAAGGTGTGATGAAATTTACCCAGATGAAATCATAATTTGATCACTATTTCATACTGAATTTCAATGATTTAATCACCATAATCATGCCATAATCAACGATTACTGCATGTTTGTTGCTAATCCTGGTGCGCCTGATGAAATACTGGACTGCATATGTCCGTATCCATTAATGATCGATTTCACATCATATATGTCATTTATAGTATATAGTACATATATATAATTATATACTACATATATTTATTATATATATACATAATCATACATATGTGTCGGGCATTGAAATAAAGAAAGATGGATGGATAGATAGGTGGATGGATTCGATGGGATGGGATGGATCAGGGATGATGGGGTAGATATGGTAGATATGATAGACAAGACAAGATAAGGCAAGACAAGACAAGACGAGATCAGACAAGATCAGATAAGATCAGATAAGATCAGATAAGATCAGTTGAGATTCAAATGAATTTCAAATGTAACTCCCATCTAAGTGTCCCAGTCACCCATGGGTGGTGCAAAGGATCCCATCATCGGCGGCATGAAGGACCCCGTCCTCGGTGGTGTGGCCAGTCCCCCCAGCGTCGACGCTGCGTGGGAGGCAGCCGAGCTGGGCGCGGCAGTCACCAGGCCCTTGACGTACTCCGGCGGCATCGGTGGGCCTTTTTGTTGGCGGGATGTTGCAGGGAAAAACTCGGAAAAACCACGGGAAACCCTTTAAAAAAAAAACATCTTGAAAAAAAAACATTGTGTTTCACCGCTACATGAAATAACCAGAGGGTAAATTCGAATGGATATCCCCATTCTGTTTACCTGGAGGATAATCCCACGAATCGCAGCTGGCTAGTCATCATGGTATCGACGTTCCAACCTCTTTCTACATGGCCCTCCTCCAATAGGGGAAAAAATGGACCCACAATCAGTTGTTGTAACTCCCAATAATCAACCAATCTCATTATATTCCAAAAATGATTTAATGACTTGCTGAATATCCCAACAATAATCATCATGATAACTGTCCCATTTAAAAAAAAAAAAAAAAACCTTTCCCAAAATGGCATTTTGGATGGTTAAATTCCCATGTTTTAAGTGGTTATGTCATATATATACATATATATATATATATATATACATATATAGGTTCAGCAACCCAAAAAATGATAGAACAGTGCAAAACCCCAAACCGATAGAAAAAGTGTTTCAACCCACGGAAATTTGTTTATGAGTGATGATTTGAACCGTTTCTACACTATTTTCAGCACAATTTTGTCAATATAACAATATCATCCCATACGTTTAATAAAGATTACGCCAATAATCCCCATCCCCATGTTGAAATACCTACCCCTATCATATCCCTAGCTCTTTTACCTAACTCCTACAATGTGGGGCCCCCTAGTGATAAGTTGGTTTAGATTCGCCCCAGTAACTAGTTCGTTATTTGCGTACCATAAACCATAGTGAAATTGGAGTTATGTGAACCCCAACTGAACGCTATCGTGGCCAGGGGCCTCACTTTGTAGGGCTTCCCAACCCCCATCCCCACCATCCCCACCATCCCCACCACCCCCACCATCCCCACCACCCATCCAGGCTCCCCGGGGAGGCCTTGCACCACCTCCATCCGCACCTCCGGTGGCGCCTCACGGCGCAGCACCGGCAGGTCGACACAGCTGCGCTGCTGCTGCCCCGGCAGCGTGTCGCCCACCACCGGGACCTCTACGACCTCCAGGGAAAACCACGGGGACACCGGGGAGGAACCAACCCCTGGAAGAAATGTGGGGAAAAATTGGAAAGAAAGGAAAACATAGCAAAAGTATCCGAAAGGGTGGTGGTTAAGAAGAAAAGTATTCCAAAGTCCAAAGTATTCGAAAATTAAGCTTTGACTCAGAAAAAAACATATCCAAGAATGAGAGCTTCAACCTAGCAAACACTACACGTGGTAGTTTAAGCAGCGCACGGCGGAAAAACTGAGCAAAACGGAGAGATGAATCTGCATAGTTGGGGACTTTGGTAACTCGGTATCATCCAACCACCACGCCCCTAATGGTATTAGTAATACTAGTATGGGTCCCATTATTTTTCCTGTACCCTCTGGTGAACTAACATAGCAATGGAAAATCACCATTCTTAATGGGAAAATCCACTATAAATAGCCATTTTCCATTGCTATGTTAGTTCACCAGAGGGTACATGGTACGACTATCCCCACATAGTTTGATGTTCCAAGCCGCTGCGCCTTCTGAACTTCTTGGACCATGGGAACCTCCACGATCTTTTCAACCGTTTGGACCTGGCCCAGGCTTTCCAATGGTTTCCGGCCACAGAACTGTGTGTCTTAGAAAAACATAGAAAAACGATTCGAACAACTTGTGAAAGTTATGAAAGTGGGATCAGAAGGAAGCTGAATGTGGATCAGAAACGCAGCAATGCAAAATTACCCAATGTTCGCAACTGTGCAGAATTTGTGTCCTCGTACTTCAACAACATGTTGCGATACCCAGTTGAGAAAGGTGTCGTTTGTTCCAAAAAATAATCCAACATTCAGATCCAGGAAAAACTCATTTAGCAAAAATATCTGGATGGTTCCAGTAAAAAAAAGGGCGTCCCCGTCCATCCCAGTTGTTACCCATAATATTAAGCCCAAAGTTGCTGTTTTCCACCTGAATTCGTATTGTGATGTATTTTGGTCATCGCCGTCATCGCCTCTTTTCTTCCCAACCTGTACTAAAGTCCATGTTTGTTGCGCGTTAGTGTTGGTCGTATTCAAAGATTATGCCTGTATAATCCACATCTTTGATGTTTGTGACCGTTTCCCCCATTGGCAAGTTTGACACATGGTTTGCCACACCCTGCTTGCGGAATCTCCTATTTTTTCTTCACCATTTCCAATTTTTGTTGGTTCGGTCAAAATTGCGATTTTTCATCGTCCAAAACCCAACTTTTCCGTTTCACAACCCTACAAATCCACTGACCTTGGCGCATTTAGGACTGTATCGCCCTTACTCAACTACATTTTGCCCCAAAAATGCCTTACGAAACAGTCCATCATTTTTTCCTGGTTTACATTACTTACTCCAAATCTCAACCTTTCCATTTCATCTTCATTTTTTTAAGGAATAAACCAAACCGTCCTTTGGTTTATTCTGGAATTCCCTACCATGTTCATTTCATCTTCAACAAAAAACTCACCAAAGTCCCATGTATTTAATTTCACCTTCAAGAAAAAAATCTCAAAGTCCCATCTATACCCAATCTCTAAAATCCCTCCAATTTCCGGTTTTTTCCCCAGCTCCACCTGAGGAATATCCACCTGGTTCACCACCGGAACTTCGATGACTTTCTCGATGGTCTCCTTCACCGGCACCTCCACAGCTTTCGAGACCTTGCTCAGCACCGGCACGTGGTGATGTACCGGGACAGGCACCTCCAAGTCCTTCGGCGCCATGGTGATCTCACCTTTTTCCAGATGTTTTAATGGGAGAAATCATCTACTAAATGGGAATCAATGGGGATTTTCCATGTTAAAATCATTGAAGATTCACTTCATCTATCTTCATCTACTAAATGGGGGGATCCATTTTAAAATCAGTTGATTCATTTCTAGATCTTTGGGATTTCCATCAATGGGGATAGCCTATGATCGCTGGATGATTTCATGGATCCATCGATGGATGACTGGGTGGCTCTCTTGGGAGATAAATGGCGATGTTTACCACCCAAAATGGGGATTTCCTGGAATATCACGGTGCTAAAAAATTGGAACAATTCCATATAGCAATACGCAGCAATATTAAATATATGAGTTTGTCCGGCAATTGGTAATACCTAAAATTGTGAAATCTTTAGCAACCAGTGGATTTTGGTGTACCCAGTTTTCAAACAAACCCATGGATGCCAAGGGTGTACAGTTTCTACCAAAAGAAAACATTTCAAGCAACCAAAACATATGGTTCTAGAAAAATTGTGGTTTGTTGTTCCTTGATTTTCTCAAAAAAATACATGAAATTTCCCAAAAAAATCCAGGTCTAGCCGGACTCCAATCATCTCTAGTCCTTGTCCACGTATTGGATTTGTGGCACTTCCACGTGTCGTTCCACCGCGGCGACTTGAGGCACGTGCACGTGTTTTTGGACCGGCACTGGCACCACCTGCCAGCTGGAAGATGGGTGTGAAAATGAGAAATAAAGGTTGTTAATGATTACTAATAATGTTTAATGATCATGACGAACGGTTATTAATAATATTTAATTATGGTTATTAATAGTGGTTATGCATGATTAATGATTCATGGTTGTTAATAATTATTGGTTGACGCTCACTAGTCATGATTAATGGTGGTTAATGGTGGTGAATGGTCTTTACAATAATGATTATTGGGGGTAAAACAATGCCATAAACAAGCCATGGGAATGCTATGGTTTATCCCCGATACGCGCAAAGGGCAGCTCCAATTTTTCGCCACACGTCAGCAGCGCACCCTGCTAAGTGGTTGACTTCAATTTCGGGGCGGGAAAAAGAGTGTAAGAAAAAGTAGAAGATATGGGTGTGTCTGAAAATAGTGTACCCCTAAACCCAATGGTTAATGATCATTATCCCTATTGAATGGCTATTTGTTTGGGGATATACCCTATTTTCAGACAAACCCATATTGGCTCTTTTGGGAAACGCTGCTCACTTGCACCTTATGCGCGGAACCGGATGGAATGGGCAAGGCGGGACCCATCCATCGAGGGCGTTGAGAAAACAATTCGTGATAACCACGACGTTTTTGTCGGTGGAGTAAAATAGTTTGAAGTCTACGATTCCTGGCTGTTTCGGATCTAAGATTCTGATGCGTACGGTTTCGTGACGCACTGCAGGGTTCCTGACCACAAGTCTGGCTTTGAGGAGGCAACTTGTACTGGAAGGAAAAAGAAAAATCTTTTAGAAGGACCGTGGTCTTCCGGCAAGCCTCTGGCCGGCCCCTGCCAGCTTTAGCTGTTCATGGAGTAAAATGAGACTGTGTCCGGTAAAGGAGTGGTACTGCCTTTGGCCCCTATTGGGGTTCTGAAGCTGTGATTTATCCAGGCATACGCTGAAAAACATGAGCAAATTGCCAGTAGATTACACCGGTGAAACAGGTGCAAACTGAATTCAGGTGCGTCAGCTCATTGTTGGTGTAGGGATCCATGCCAAGAAAGATGTCCTGGAAGAGATATGAGTGGTTGATGAAATTGGTAAGCTCATCCACTATGAAGTCGAACTGGAGGATATTGGTCAACTCAAATGAAGAACCTAGGATCTACTGGTAAGAGTTCCTCTCGTTCTTGCTGAAGTGGAGGTGGTAGTCCCAAAGGGGGCGTGGTCTTTGAACAATGAGATTGTTGCATCGATGTACATCTGTGGCGAGACATGTGTCGATCTGGTAGTGGCGGAAGGGCTGCTGAATAATCATGGAAAGTCCAAGTGCTACTCTGGGTCTTTGTTCTTCATGTAGAAGGATATTCCAGTCGAGGTTGTTCATTGTAAATCCTGTAGCTGGTAGTCCTCGAAGTAGGAGTGCTTTGCTGTCAATCGTGGATTCCAATGTCTTCAATCTGGTATCCATGGTGTCGATCTGAATGTGAGTGTTGTACTGCTCGAGGATGGTAACTGGTATGGGTGTAAAATTCTTGAATCTCAAGCGTTGGAGTTTCGACCTGTTGAAGGTGAGGTCGATCTTCCGGAGTTTGCCTTTGTCAGGGTCGAAGTGAAGTGCTTCTGGAGAGGTGAGGTTGAAGGCAAGGAAGTCTGCTCTGGCTTGAGGTGAAGATCGAAGTTCCTGTTGGAGTCCAAAGCCCAAGTCTGAGAGCTCTACATCCTTAGCTGGTAGTGCAGTGAGATCAGTGAGAAACTCTTCCCATCCTTGGTCTGTTCTGGGTTTCTTTGCAAGAGAAGACTCTCTGGTAGTAGCTCGATGTTGCCTGATGAGTTCAAGTTCTTCTGGAGTGAGGGCCTCAGTGGTAGTAGGTGATGTAGTCGATGTGGCTTGAGGAGGTTGAGGTGGAGGAGCTTCAGGTAGCTAGATTCTGGCTGCTTAATAGCCATGGCTTCAAGTAGGAACTTCTTCTATAAGTGCGTTTTGTAATTGAAACATAGTAACAAGTGAGGGCACAGCCCAATCAACATGTGGTCCATGAAAGTAAGCATTGAAGGGGAGGGAACTGAAAAGGGCATGAAACTTGGGGCATGCAGTACCAATTGGCATGACAGCATTGCTGACTGTGTGGCAAAAGCTAAAGCTCGTGCCAAAGCCTTGGCAAGTTTATACCACCTATAAAAATGGTGATGACTGGGGGATGGTGCAAATGACATGTGTTTTATCCACATTAATATAGGGATGGTTGGGCAATGGATATATGGGGATATGGGAGAATCAAGGAGTATGGGGATTTCCAACTAACAGTGGGATTATCACATGATGTCTTACACGGTGTGGCGACCATTGGCATTTCACCCAAGGCTTTGGGAGTAAAGACTGGGAACTTTTTGAACCCTTCCCAAGTCCATCAAAAGAACACTTGGTTGTCCCACACATGTATGTGTATATATATATATGTATGTGTATATACATATACACACATACATACATACATATATATATATATTCGGACATATATACATATATATATATATACATATATGCATATATATATACATATATACATAATTATATACATATATACATATATACATATTATATTCTTTGAAATCCTTTGATAGTACTGAACAAGATAATTCGAAAGTGCACTTGAAATCTGGTGTATTTGATCCACGGACACCTTGTCCACGTACTCAATCTGAGGCACCTCCACCGTCCTCGTGCAGCGGTTCAAAACAGTCCGACCTTTTTTGGTGACACCTCCATTGAAAAATGGTTGTTTAATGGTGACTATATGGTGATTTAATGGTGATTCAATGGTTTAACAATGGGTTAACAATGGGTTAACAATGGTGAATAATGGGATGATATGGGATTTAGCCTCTGGTAAACTAACAGTTTTGCGAACTTGAAAATGGCCCATAGAAATTTCGTTGATTTACCCATTAGTAGCATGGTGATTTTCCAGTGCGCTATGTAAACGTTTGCCAGAGGGTACCTGGAAATGACAGGAAATGACCATGTTCATAAAGAACGAACATGAGGTTTTGAAGTTACCACGGAATTTAGGATGATTTAGGGGTACCCTACTCTCAGACAAGCCCAAACCTGTCCAGAACATTCTGAAATTGGCTGACAAGGTAAATGTAGAACACTTTGCCACCATCAAAGCAGCAGAAAGTGCAATCCCCCTGGTGAACTGAAGAGCAAAATCAACAGAGAAGGACAGGATCTGGCTCAAACCCTGGTAAATTGATGGCTTTACTTGTATGCTGCATGCTTGTCACCTTGTGCGTGGGAGAGATGTCTATCTCATACAACTATACCCCAAGCCAGGAAAAAAGACAACTGAGTGTGACAAATTTAAACTGTTGCTGCAAATGGGAAACCAAGACTGAACAAAGACAGTGAACTGTTGCAACATACACATAAACATGGTGCCGGGCATCTGAGCCGGCCCCCGCTGTTGTCACTTTTCAAACATTTTACAGGGGGGACCAGAAAACGCTGAAAAACGAAACCTTAGCATCAGGAGCAATTTCATCATCATCATCAACATCATCATCATCATCAACATTTACATATCCATAATCATCCACCTAACACCCGCCCTACTACGATCTGCAAGTGCATGCGAACGTACAGCAGCGTAGCATGACGTATGTGTGCAAGTGCATGAGAACGTACAGCAGCGTAGCATGACGTATGTGTGCAAGTGCATGAGAACGTACAGCAGCGTAGCATGACGTATGTGTGCAAGTGCGTGAGAACGTACAGCAGCGCAGCATGACGTATGTGTGCAAGTGCATGAGAACGTACAGCAGCGTAGCATGACGTATGTGTGCAAGTGCATGAGAACGTACAGCGTAGCATGACGTATGTGTGCAAGCGCATGAGAACGTACAGCAGCGTAGCATGACGTATGTGTGCAAGTGCATGAGAACGTACAGCGTAGCATGACGTATGTGTGCAAGTGCATGAGAACGTACAGCAGCGTAGCATGACGTATGTGTGCAAGAGCATGAGAACGTGTAGCATGACGTATGTGTGCAAGTTACAGCAGCGTAGCATGACGTACAGCAGCGTAGCATGACGTATGTGTGCAAGTGCATGAGAACGTACAGCGGCGTAGCATGACGTATGTGTGCAAGTGCATGAGAACGTACAGCAGCGTAGCATGACGTATGTGTGCAAGTGCATGAGAACGTGCAACAGCAGCGGCGTAGCATGACGTATGTGTGCAAGTGCGTGAGAACGTACAGCAGCGTAGCATGACGTATGTGTGCAAGTGCATGAGAACGTACAGCAGCATAGCATTACGTATGTGTGCAAGTGCATGAGAACGTACAGCAGCGTAGCATGACGTATGTGTGCAAGTGCGTGAGAACGTACAGCAGCGTAGCATGACGTATGTGTGCAAGTGCATGAGAACGTACAGCAAATGACGCTATTATCCCACCCCACCCCGCCCCACCCACCCCCCCTCCACCCCCCTCGTCTATGATGTTGTTTTTAGTGTAATGTCAAAAAATAACAACAGCGGGGGCCGGCTCAGATGCCCGGCACCATAAACATGCCATCGTCCGAGCACAAATTTGGCGAGCTTGACACATGAAGTAGATTCTGCAAAGTGGTCAAGTGCAAACCGAAGAAGAAGAAGAAGAAGAAGAAGTGATGATAATAATAACAATCTGGTTGGTGGTTTCAACCCCTCTGAAAAAATATGAGTTCGTCAGTTGGGATGATGAAATTCCCAATAATAGCAATCATATCACAAAGTAGACATCCCAAGCCAACAGTTCCACCACCCCATCTGCGTGCGCCCGGGCCGTCCTCTGCATGCGTTTCTCCACGGTGACATGGCGATGCGTCTGGACTGGAATGTGGACGTGGTGGTCCACATATTCCACCTCTGCCAGGGTGAAAGGTGAAATCAAAGGGGAAAATGATGGGTTTAGCGGCTTCCAAAAGGTCTGAGGATGATCCCGGCAATTCCAAAAAAAAACACAGCAACTGGGTGTTTTAAGATATTTTAACTATAACCATGATTGGTTATAAGTTATATAGTCATCCCCAAATAGATGGAAAAGTAAGTCCCTACTAATTTGATGGTGATTTACTTTTCCATCTATTTGGGGATGACTATAAGTATAACCTGTGGTTTCACATATTATATCCATATGCAACCAATTTATTAACATGACAACCAGCCCATGGTTTACCCATGGATAAACTCCCTTCCCTTCATGACATCCACCAGTGACCCCAGTGACCAGACTCGGAGACCCGGCCTGTTCCACCTCGACAGTCCTAGGCACCTTGGTGACCATGGGAACGTGCACGTGTTTCTGCACCGGCACGTGGAGGATCTCATCCTGGCTGCTGGAAGCATCCAATAAGCTGGCGGCCCCATGGCTGATGATTAAAGGGTAACATGGGTTGTGGATAAGTGATATATGCCATTTATAATGGTTTTATATGGTTTTAAGATGTTTTAAGATTTAATCATGGTTTTGTATGGCTGATGGTTATGGAAGAATCTTGGGTGTCACTTGGAAAAGTGTATATAATGGCGTATAATGACATATAATGACTTATCACTGAGTTGGAAGATGTTTGTGAAACCTTTAGGATATCACTGGGACATCTACTGTAAGCACTCTTTGATAGTGGAAATATTGCGCATACGCCCATGTGAATTCCGCAAGAGCTAGATCTCTAAAAAATTGGAACCCAGAGACTGATTGGAAAGAAAAGTTCCAAACAGGATGGGTCGATGAAGGGGGTGTATGCTGTAAACCCATCCAATTGTTGTGATATATCTGTATACTGTACACTACATCCTCCCATTTCAAGCCCACTTTGCCGCTTAGCCTGTTATATTCGAGCAACTTGCCCATCATGTGCGGGGCCCACTGTGCTGAATCACGTCAAAAACACAAACAGTTTGTGGAATCTCAACATGTCTACTCAAACAGAACTACATAATGTAAACATCAGAATTAGAAAAAATATCCACATATAAACAAGAATATGTCATTATAGATAAACATTAATATAAACATCCACGAAATTGTCGTTTTCGCCCCACCTCGTACTTCACCACTGGTACTTCCACGTGTTTCTTCACCGTTTGCACCACCGGAACATGTCGATGCTGCGTGATGGGCACGTGCACCACGTGGTCGACGTATTCCAGGGTCGGAAGCTCCACGATCTTCGGGACCTTTTGGATAACCGGGACGTGGCGCTGTTTTTGCACCGGCACCTCCACGATCTTGTCCACGTATTGGATCTGAGGGACATCCTGGGCAAAAACTGTGGAAAAGTTGGGTCGAAATATGATCAAATGGTGAGGTGTCTGTATCTTGTTACTGTGTAGGTGAAACTGGGATGTTTTCCGACTTTGGGGCGCATCACGTCCGCGCGTTTCGCAGTTCATGTGCGGAGATTTTTTTTTCTGTATATTTCAAGAATGTCAACACTTTACTTGAGCAATATTGACTATATGCTAGTATTGGCACTCAAATCAAACAAATATGCCAACTGGGTATGGGTCAAAATTAGGTACCCCAATAATTGAATGGTTAATACTAAACTATACTAACATCTGTGGTCCCCTAGGTCTTCCATTTTGACCCACATCCAACTACTGTACCCCCTGGTAGTCAAACATGGCTGGAAAATCCCCTATTTCTGTTGTCGTTTTTCTCATTTTGAGACCTCTATCTATAGGGGTGGGTAAACCCATGTAAATCCCGTGGAAATCCCGTTACGGTTACAACAACAACAACAACAACAACAACAACCCAGTTTCCACCGGTTTCTTCACCACCTTTTCCACGGGCACGTGTTCGATGGTGATCTGAGGGACTTCCGTGATGTTCTCCTGGAAAAAGAGCCGTTGAAAGGCAAGGACAGGTCAAACAAATGGTGATTTAACCATCAAACATGGGGATTTCATCGGAAATCATGGGATTTTTCATGGGATTTTTGCTGAGTTTGAAAACAGCAAATCCTATAGGTCCTATGGAGTTTGAGTCAAAAATTATCATGTCTGTCCAATTGAAATCAACCATTCTGGTTGAAACCTTGTGGACTGATAGTTGTTCCCATCTTTCAGGGTTCATCCACCTGTGTTTGTCATATTGTGTTGTCCTATCTGTGGATGGTTGCAAAATCCTGCACCACCAAGGATGATTGAAACCCTATAAATAGGGGGATGTTTACCATCGTTTTCAACTCAGGATTTCGCTGGCCCATCCACAGTATCTGTGGTGAGGGCTAAAGCCTCCACTTCTGTTGGTGTTTCTGGTTTCCCGTGGGTCCAGTTGGTTACTTCCGTTGTGAATGGTGATTATATATATATTATATTATATCATCAATACAAATTAATTAATCATATCATCCCACTATAATCCCATGAAATAGGTCAATCATGAAACAACATCATATCATCCCATCTTGGCAGGATTACATAATTATCTTCTCGCATATCTAATACATTATAATACATTCTAATATTTAAATCAATCATTTTGAATCTATGAAATATTCAAATTACAGTCCATCAAATTCCTTTCAATCCCACAACATCGCCAAATTGTTTAAGATCTCCATCTCTTCACGTCGCCAGTGACATCCTATAACTAGTTGCCCCATCGGCAAAATACCGAAACATCTCAATGGGAAATCCCCAATTCAATGGCCCAACAAGAGAATCATCATCTATAAATATAGGCTTCAATCTTCCTATAAATATGATTCCAGAAATCTGTGTTTTTTTCTTGCCACGATTTTTTCCAAATCTTTGATTCAGAGAAGGGCTCTATTTTTCATATACAGGTGGTAAATTCGGGACGATCTGTTTGATCATTTGGATACAGAAACCATCCATGCCATTTCTTGGATTTTTAAAAACTGGGGATCTGGATACAGAAACCATCCGAAACCATCCACAAAAACCTGGTGCTTTTCCCAGGTTTTTCCCCATGGGTTCGTGCCGAAGAAAAGGTCGTCGCTCCTGGATGATGGGTTTCTTCCGTCGCACCGTGCGTTGGATGATCTGTGGCTTCACCACTTCGATCTTCTGGATCTGGTCCTGCCGCCCGAGGGCCCCAAGGTGTGGAAACCACCGGGGACCGGGAAAGCCCAAAAAACACCGGGGAATGGCCTAGAAAATAGGCACATGGGGTTAAAATATAAGCTGTTTCACCTAGAAAATGTGGATCTATACACTCAGAAATTCGAGATATGATTGGGAGACACTAGAACAATGGTCGCACCTTTGTGCCCCGAAGTGTGATGCTTTAAACCTTTAAGCGGAAACATTATCAGTTCATCTGTGGTTACAAACCGGGTCCCAAATTGATGCCCATCTATAGATTCACCAAAAGACATATTGTTTCCATGTTTTCCTTTTGCTCATCCAGGTTAATCGAAAATCATGGAAATGCACCTGGATAAACCTGGTAGCCTTCGCTCTTGAACTCATCCGAACATCAGTAAATAGGTGCCATCCATCTAGTTCAGCTGCTTTCTGGTCAGGTATCTTGAATGGAAACTCGAAGCAAAACATGCTTCGCCGTACACCATGGGCATCACAATGATGGCCGCTTCCTCATTATAAGTTGATTGTATAAGTTGATTATAAGTCCAGCAAAAAGTCCAGTCAAGTCTTAATCAACTCCAGCACTCATGGCCAATTTTACAGACCCTGCACAAACTGATTTTTCATCTGGTTAGCATATCATATACATTTATGTATATATATATATACATATACTACTATATTACTACATTACTAAATCATGTAATTCTATCTACACAAATAGCAGTTTAGATTGGGTTGTGTTACAGTAAGTCATCCCTGCACCCGTCGCAGTCCTGAACTGTCAAGTGCTGCACCGTCTGCATGATCTTTGGCACCTTCACAATGGTCTCTTCAATTTGAACCTGGCGATGAAAAGTGTGCATTGGTTTCGGGGATGGATTTCTGATTTTATTGAAAAAAAATCTGAAAACCATAGAAAAGCCTGATTTTGAATCTGGTGACAGTGTGGGGGGTTGCTTCTGGTTTTTTTTTTCAGAGAACATCCTGGCAATATCCTGGTCTCTTCCATCAACGGTTAAAATCATCCCGTGTTGAGGGAGATCAAGGCAACAAGCAAAAAAATGAGAATCCCCGAATCTCTCCGATCACATACCTCGGGCAATTGGGACGCGTTGGAAACTAATGACCTCATAACCCGACATTGCAATTGACTAAGTGGCCAAAGTCGAAAAGTCATCTCTGTCCATCAGCGAATTCTGCAGCCAGTCATGGAGCCGCTTGAGATTTTCGCCATTGCCACCAGTTGGAGATGAAATGCTCCCCCGTTACGATAAGAGGGGGAAAGAAAATGGCCGGATAGACCCAAGTTTACCCAGTGATGAAAGAGGTGTTCCATAGTTTTTCATAGGTTTTCCACAGTTTGCCCAGGGTTTTCCTTTTTGGGGTTGGAGTATCACCATGGAAAACTGCTGCCAGGGGTCAAAACCCACCATGATACGTGGCGCAATGGAGTCATTTCTCAAGTTCAAATGATATAAAATGATGACAATGATAATGCTATTGTTAAAAAATGCTGATAATGAAATGATAATGATACAAAATGGTATACTGGTTGGTGGTTTTAACCATCTTGAAAAATATGAGTTCGTCAATGGGAAGGATTATCCCATATATATATATAATATTATATATATGTATGTATATCATATATATATATATATTATCATATATAGGAATTGCACCACTTCATCTTTTTTGCTACAGCAGTTGGTTGGTAAAACAACAACAGCAAGAAAATGCGCAAAACAAAACCACCCGGATCAGAGGAAATTAATTTCCACAAAACACGAAGCAACAAAAACCAGGAATTACAACAAACAATCATTAAGTGATGCATCCTTGTGTCCTCTATCCGGGCGGGGGAGGTGGGCCAATCGGAGGGAGCTAAAAGCCAAAAGATTGCGTGTGAATTCCTAACTACAGGGGGCTGAGACCAAGGAATTGCACCACTTCATCTTTTTTGCTACAGCAGTTGGTTGGTAAAACAACAACAGCAAGAAAATGCGCAAAACAAAACCACCCGGATCAGAGGAAATTAGTTTCCACAAAACACGAAGCAACAAAAACCAGGAATTACAACAAACAATCATTAAGTGATGCATCCTTGTGTCCTATCCACGTTCCCCGTTCCTTCGGCGCGCCGAAAGCTCAAGCTCCCTAAGTACTGCATTCCATTGTCGAAGACATGTAAAATGAATTGGGCTCAGTCTTAAATTCAAATCATTCAGCAAGGCCAAAGAATCTGCTATATATACCCGAACTGTCTGCTGCGAACTCCACCGCCCTTGTTGTGTCACAGTGGAGTAAGAATGGGATTCTGTAAAAACATGGGTTGCTCCCCCACGCCTTAAAGAATAGGGTTTGTAACCAATGTGTTCCAAAGATGTATCCCGAAGCCCGCGGGCAAACCAAGTACGAAAAGCTGTATTGCTACAATCTACTAGGTAGGCATTCTTGCGCACCGAATTCTTCCAAGCACCGAGCAGCAATGCGAGTTGATGATGGCGAAAATGGACAGAATCGACATTTGCATTTCGAAAAGAAGTCTTGGTTTGCCCTAGGAATAAATGTATATGATCTTGTTGAACAGTACAATCCTTAGCCTGTAGTTGTAACAGCTCTCCCGTCCGCAGGAGCGCATGAAAACCAAGCTGTAAGGCCAAAGCCCAATGAGGATTTTGTTGGTGTGCCCAACCACAAAAAATTGCAAGGGTCTGTAATGAAAAAGGGGGGGCCCGAGCCGGCACCTCGGCCTGCTGCCAAGCTTTCAAATACCGCCAGGGTGTTTTCAATTCGCCCTTTAGTGAAGGTTGATGATGCTGCAAACCACTGATGGTATCCCCCGCTAAAGACTTCGAGTGGCCTTCTTCCCATAATTCACCAATGTATTCACTAAGTACAATATCCATAATTTCAGGAGTCTGAGGGATCGGCTCCCGTTGTCTACGCAAATGTGCAAAAAAATGGTCAGCTGCTCTACGGTATCGTTCTAAAGTTGCAGGTTTTATGATCAAGGATTTCAACGGTCCTAATTCTTGCCTTCGCATTTTTCTGGCTTCCTGGGAGTTGCCCTCTATAATACGACGCTTGCCCATTTCCGTTTCTTCATTCCTCGCCGACTCGGAGCGTCGGCCGGGTTGGACGCCGTATCGACATAACCTAGGAGAACCAGAGTGTGCGAAAGCAAGAGTAACGCGTTGATCTTTTTGATAATCCTTTGCAATGACCGTGAGCTAGATCTTCCCTTGTTCAAAATATGAAGACTGACAAGTGAATCAACCAAGTGCAAGAATCTTGTCTTCTTGATACGTTGTTTGAAAATACGCCAACGAATACTAGTGAGCACGGCCCTTAATTCCAATTTGTTGATATGCTCTTGCTGCTCAGGAGATTGGCCATACTTCCAACGCCACCCACAGACTGTCTTCCAAGACCACAAATGTGCAGGCACAGTTGTTCGCAACTTGTCGTAGGTAACAACCGGTTCTGTTTCAGCTTTTAAAAGAATGTCGCTACCTTTTGTCGAAACCAAAGTGCCCAAACGTGAAATCAAAATCTCTGAGTTACCCTCAACAACAGGATTCCGCCCCGCTTTCCGGGGTGGCCTGGTCAGAAAACTGTTCAACCCGGCATCCGCTTGACCAGAGCCTGGTTGGCACCGTTGCAACATTGTTTGCAAACTCATCTGGGGACACAGGTTGCGAGGGAGGCATAATGACCGCATCAAGAACGCTGCCACTTGAATACCCCAACTGTTCCCCAATAAGGTTAACCTGGTATCCTCGTGTTTCAAAGGATCAGTTTTGACTGCTTGCTTTGGTAAACATTTCAACGTATAGTCCAATGGCAGGCCCAGAATACATTCGCGTTCTGAAACCCCAACCATCTTCCAACCTTTTCTCTTGTGAACCAAACCATTTTCATACTTGTAGTGATGCGGCGGGAACCTCCACCTATCACCAGCCCATAAGGACAAATCCCGTTCACTACAACTCTGAACCCCCGCTGGTTTAAACCCAGGGCCCTTTTTTGGTTGACTTGTAGTGAAAGTGCATAACTTATGGTTAGTTCCCCCCGCTAGTGACCACCCGTAAGGCAAGTAGTCATCAGGGTTAACTTCCAAATTGAACGATACTTGGCCCCAAGAACGCGCTTCGCTATTGGGAGGCAAATAGATTTCAACTCCATCCTCGGCCTCGACGATCCAATCAAACCACCAAAACCTGGGACGGCGACACAAGCTCAAACCCAAAGCGTCGATTTTGAAAGGAAGCATGCCAATCGCGCGCGCGTTATTTCGACTCTGCCCTTCTCATCTATTGAGCAACCAGATGTCATAAGGACCAAAGTTTCACACCAACTGAAGACATCCTTGCATAAGTCCCTTACACGACAAACATGAGAATGAAGAGCTGCCACAGGGTCACAATTACATGACCCCGAAAAAGCCTCAGAAGGTGGTCCTCCCGCTACCAAAACACAGGAGGTCCTAGGATACATTCCCGCTAGACTTTGCACTACCGCAGGTGTGATATCAACTACGTCGTCAAAGTGTTGAACTCCAGGAAAGTTACTTTGAAGAGTACGATATGCTTCGCTAGACCTTTCCACGCTGACATACCCAGAAATTTGTGCACCAATAGTATCTAAGGCTACTCGTAAGCTTCCCATGCCATCAAATAACGAAATCACCAGAAGCTGGTTGTCATCGGTCACTTCCTCCCTTTCACCCCTGATGAATTTGCTCTTGGCGGCTTGTCCGAAGGCTGTCAAGCCCACGCTCTGGCAAAGACCACCGCCATCCTCCGAAGCGTCCGACACAGTGCACAAAGGGTCGTAAGGCATCCTAATGTCCATGAAGGCTAACAAGGACAATGACAAAGCAGCAAACAATTCTTCCTTCACTTCGTTAGGGATTGGCTGCCACAAACGCATGTTACCCTCAAAGGATGCCGTAAAAGTCCAACTCTCGTTGAAGATTGACATCAGGGGCCTACGGAAGCTGAAAAGGTAATTGAACCCCCCCAAAGTCACCTGCATACGCTTCAAATCACATCTCTCGCTTTTCAAGAGATGATATGCCGCTTTGAAGTATCGTCCTACCTTTTCCAACTTGGGGTAAATGATGCCCTGAACCCCATCAACAACGGCCCCCTGCACTTCAGCTACAAGTTGACTTTCCGCAGACTTTTTCAAATTCCTGGGTACCTTATGCCTGCTGTATTCCTCCCGCAAAGCCCCCGCCAAAGGATCCAGGGTCCCATCTAGGAGTGAAGCGGCCTCCGGGTTTGTTCTTCTCAAGAGGTCAAAATTGTCTAAGTAGATGCGGTACCCCAGAGATTCCTGTGGCAGAGGCTGGTCACGCCTAATTTCGAAAGAACGGCTGACCTTATGCTTATCCATGGCAGCATGTACAATACCCCTGTGCAAAGCTTGCGCTACAGCAACGCTATTGATGAAGCCCATCGGCAACACCAAACTAGAAAGCACATATTCTTCATGTGGGTCTGGGGAAAGCTCTGGTGGCAGCACCCTCCCGAAACACAGGAGCGGCCGCCATACACTACCTAGACTTACCACATAAAACATGGCTTTGATATCTTCTGAGGAAATCAACAGCGTCTCATTGGGATACAGCTCCAAGGGTTGCAGCTGACTAAGCATCGGTAGGGTAGACATGTCCCCGACAATTGACTGAAACATGGAATTGACCGGCCGTAAATCCATGATGAGTCGCAGAACATCAACACCGTCAACGTTTTCATTTTTGGGGACACCAAACAAACCCCCAACCATGGGTTTCCCATCGACCCGGATGACATCCTTCAAAGGAAAAGGTTCACAAATACCCCGATCTATAAGCCCAGCAGCTACTTCGGGCTAATCATCCTCATCCACAAAGATACGAGGAGGTGGCATGTACACCCACTCCCGCACTGGCTTCAAATACTTCGCAGGGTTAATAAGAAAATCTCTAACCCCACCTGTACAACTCTCTTCGCCTCTGACAATTCCGGCAAGCCCTTTGGGCGGCAAACTGTGGATAAGATTGGCCCACCTAATTTTCTGAGCGGAGTGACACTCTTCACCGTAAGCATTCACAATCCTACGGCTCCAAAACGCACGCATGGATTCATCAGTGAAATTCTCTTGGCTAAAGCGGTCTATCAAGACCATGGATTCTTCCAAAGTTCCAACCAAATCTTTTTGAAGGGCATTCATCTCCCCCCTAGGTGGAACCCCCAAAACCCCGCCTGACATCCAGTTCAAGGATGCTATGAGACAATTCAACCAATGACCCTTGTCAGTTGCATGATCATCCCGTGGCGTGTCACAGGGGACCATGGGGAGGGGAAATACACCCCCACCCGTGTTAACCGCTGTAGCTGCTTTTTTCTTTAGGGTCAAAAACAGCTCTGTGCCAACTCTGCTGAGCGCCCCTTTGAGCTCTCTGGCAGGGTGCCTCTCAGAGTTGAAGCTGCAACCCACAGCATCTGCTCCCGCATCCTCAGGAGTCCTTCCCAAGCTAAAGCCCCCCGTAAGTTCAGGGGACCTGGATACATCATCTACAATTATGTCGGGGCCACTATAGCTGTTCTCCCAGATTGCTCTCCCTTGCTCCCCCTGTCTCCCTTGTCTCCTTTCCCTTGAATTCCCTTTGCGCCTGAACCTTTGTTCCCTTTCAGCCCTTTGGTGTTGCCGGGGGTCAAAGGCGGGCTGGGTCCCCATGAGCCTTGCTTGCCTTTCCCCTTCCAAACCTCCGCTACCTTGAGTTCGCGATGGTGCTGCGTTGCCGCTGTTCTCGACTCTTCGATGCTCGCGAGAGTAGTGGATTCTGGTGGTAGAATTTCTAACTTCAAGGCAAGGTGTGCTGGTGCTCCGTGCGCAATTTGCTCCAACGATTTCAATCGTTGGGTCAGTATATCTGATCCTTTCAAAATTTCCCCCCGCAGAATGCAATCCAACACCGTCGACAGTGTCAGATGCTCTCGTTTCAGGGGTGCGCTTGGGTTCTGCGGGGCAAATATCTGACGATGATATCGAACAAATACTGGCTCTGGATTCTTGCCTTCCCCACCTTCTCCCTGAAGAGCTAGAACCCTGCATTTTGCCTGCTTGATTCCATGACGTGTCAGCAACCCCGGGCATTTCCTGTGTATGTATTTGATCTGATCCTCCTCTGGGAACAGATCTTCCTCTTCTGAATCGTTGCTCTTCTCTGTCTCGGTTGTGCTCGATGAGCTGGATTTGTCTTTTTTCCTCTTCAACCGAATTTTTGGCCGTTTGAATCTCGGATCTAGGGCGCTGTTTTTCCATGACCATTGGCTGTCTTTGAGCATAGCTTTCACTCTTTCCCTCCCGCGAAGCCTTTTCTTTTTCGACGGCTTGGTTGGACTGGCTGGACTGGCTGGATCGGCCCCTCCTGGCGTCCTCTCCCTTGGACCTACTCCTTGTCCTCCCCCATAACCTAACTCCCGGGCCAGTTGGTTGATCCCTGAAAGACCCCCCGTGGAACCATGATCTTTGAGATTGGTGATCCATGTGATCTTCTCGTCTATCTCTCCAACCTCGCGGGTGTAGAACAACTCTTGGTCCATCACTTGCTGATCGGTGGTCACGCCTACCCTTGAGATGAACAGGGGGGCACTTGACTGAAGACGCCATTCTCTCAAACTGTCGTGGTTGGTTCCCAAAAGAGTTACTTGGGCCCATTTTCCCAAAGAATCTTCAACAAGACTGTCAATCTTTACTGCTGCTTCCGCGTCAACACCAAGGTATTTACCCTTAATATGGTATTTTCCCTCCCGCCGGAACCTGCTCTCCGCAACTGGCGCGAACAGCTCAGGCTCAGGAACAGGGGAGGCACACGGGCTTCCCGCACCGTCAAGAGGAGCCCGTGCTGGCCGCTTCCGTAGCAGTCCTGCTCTGCGCGACGCAACTCTAGCCTTAGCTTTCGCCTTGGCTTTCCCTGCCGCCTTAGGTAAAGCTTTTGCTTTGGCTTTTGCTTTCACCTTAGGGGGCATCGCTTTCGCTTTCGTCTGTGTCTCCGGTAGGGGGTTGATACGCTGCCGCTGCCTCTCTTGCAAGGCGTGCTGCCTTACGCTCTTCCCCCCTTTCTCTCCACTTTTTACCTTGTTTTTCTTTTTTCGCGGCCTTTGACCCTCTGCTCTTGGAGGCACAGGAGCTGGGGGATTGGGCGCCTCTCGGGTCACAGGAAAACGCCGAGGCAGTGGCGGGCGATCGTCCTCAAAAGGTGCGCTAGCCCTTGCCAAGCTACCAGACGAAGCTGGAAGACCACCTCCTCCCGCAGAAACAGGAGAAGGGGCCTTGGCGCTAGATTTCGCTGCGGCTCTCCCTGGACTCGAAACCGCCGGCGCAACTCCCGCAGACGCAGGAGCCGCCCCAGCAGGAACAGGAGCTTCCCCCGGCAAATCAGGGGCTGCTCCCGAAATTGAAGGTGGCAAGGGTACAGGCTGTGTTGCAAGCAGACCGTAAACCTCACCAACAGTTCTATCCAGAATATCCAATATTGGTAGTACCCCAGCTTCGGTGAGCCGTGGGTCAAAAGCAATTGATCCAAAAGCCCTAGCTGCCCTGCACAAACCACACACAGGATTAATATTTCGCCAGCGTCCGCAAACCGCACACACGTGCAATGGAGCGGGACCTGACATCCTGTGCCAATCGGAGGGAGCTAAAAGCCAAAAGATTGCGTGTGAATTCCTAACTACAGGGGGCTGAGACCAGATGGAAAATAATATTCATGTTCAAAACCAGCAACCAGTGTACATAGAACACCTTCTCAAGCGGCCTTGGGGACTTCGATGGTCTTTTCCAGGATCACCGGCCGAGGCACCTCGCTTTGCAGCACAGGATTTCAAGATATTTCAGCCGCGTGGCCTCGTGGTTTTTGGCACCATCTGACCTATCGAAATTGTTAAAGGAGCATTGAACTAATTGAAAAAAACTTAGCTATAGCGGCACAAGGCAGAGAAGGATGATGGCAACTAGAACTGTATCAACTGTTTTTTCGTTGGTGGATGGTTCAATACTGTGACCAACCCCAAATTGATAAAACCTGACCATGAAAATTGGCGCCGCGAGCCCCCGAAAAATAGTCTTCAAACTTACCAAGTTCGGTTACCACCAAAAAAAAAGAAGAAACGGGTAGGTGAAATCCAAAAATCTCTCGATTTAAGCCATTGAATCCCTGTATACTGGTTGTTGGTATAATGTGGTTGAGCCCTACCCCTCTGAAAAATATGAAAGAGTTCATCAGTTGGGATTTTCTGAAATTCCCAACTGAATGGAAAGTCAATCCCTTTCTGATTCCGTGTCCAGGCGGCCTCCACTGTGATCTCCACAGGGTTCTGCACCAGCCGCTCCTGGGACGAAGTTCCCCAGGAATCTGGTGGGATATGGCACCGCTTAAAAACCTCCCATCCCCAAATATGGCTGGGACAGGGAATGCGAAAATGGAAAACATTGGAAAACTCGGCTGGTTTGTTCAAAAAGACTCTAACAACATCTAACAACAAGTACTGTCTTGAATCTCTTGAATTCATGGAAAAAAAAGCTGACCATCCGCTTGGATGACCATCTAAGTCTTACTAAGTTAGAACATGTTAGAACTAAGATAGGAAGAACGGGGGGTTGCCTATAGTGATCTTAAACAATTCAGAAGAATGGCTCCGGTCATCATTTCATCGTGGAGTTTTGCAGTCGCACTGAACAATTTTTGTTGGCTCTGGGTCGGTCCAAAAACCACGAGGTGGGCCACCAATTCAATGCTATTGTGAGATGAATGACCTTCTCAACGATCCCGTTTTTTGGCCCCGATTTTTTTTCACGAATCTCTGTCGCCAAAACGAGCGGCTACAACGCGGAGACAAAATTTGAGACTCAATCTTGATCAGTCAAATATTAAAACGCGGAACTGCAGATTTATCCAGCTTAAACCTGGGAATTCTTGTTTTTCAAAATAGTTATAGTTGCAGTGTTGCTTAGTGAGGTCCCACCACCAAACACCAGAACCCGTGTCCTCAGTTTGAACGATTGGAACTTGAACAATTTCCTGCCGATTCGCGAGCATGTCAAACTGAGGCACCAACAAAGTGAGAGAAACAAGGCTTTTCTTGGGACCAAAAACCCTGTTCATCTTTATTCTTTGCCCAGGCAACAAATTTCATCCTTCACTACAAGGAAGGAACCATCAACGGGCAATGTTAGATTGTCAAGAGGCGAAGAAGTGAAGTGAGCATAAATTTCACAAAGTGTCATGACGGCACTCCTGTATTCATGTTCACCTGGAATAAAATCGAGTCAATCAATCAAGAAAGAGTACCATAACCATCCATACATCTAGATTCTATCAGGTAATCAGACGTTCTAAATCTGCCGGATCGCTAGCAACTAATCATATCGAAAACGTTGTTTTCACTGCCACCGTGAGATGTGGGAAGCGCAGATGCGGCAAGGATCTCCTGATCCACTAGACCATCGGAGATTCTGGCAGCAAAAACCTAGACACTATAACCCATATGCTCCATGCATGGAATATTTAACAACATTTACCCTAAAAATCACCCAAATGTAGGTAAATATACCATACATGGAGCATATGGGTAATTACAGACTCTACTGCAAAGCTTTTCCAATTGGACCAGCACAATCTGCCTCCACCGTTTGGGGCACTGGAATCTCAATCACGTGCTCCACATGGACCACATTTTGCCGCTCCTGGGCACTTCCGAAATGGCTTGCTATTGGGTTCATCACCGTAGACACCCTGTCCTGAGACATGGGGTAGACCACCCAATGACCCCCAGAAGGCATCTGAAACTCCAGCAGGCTCCAGCCCCGCAGCCCCGTCCACCGGGGCCACCTCTCCTGCACGGTGATCTTGGGCACCTGCACAATCTTCTCTTGGGGAATTTGCACAGGAACCTCTACGAGTTGCTCCACGGTGTGGTGCACCAACCTTTCCTGCTGGATCACCTGGGAACGTTTCAAGGGGGGAACCACGGGTGGATCAATGGTTGCCGTTGAGCCAACCCATTTGCTTTCGGGAGATGTGGGATGATCCCTGAAGTTACCCAGTGGTTCATAAGTGGGTTGCTTTATTTCTTGAAACTTTGACGTTTTTGACGTTTTATGGGATGTGTCCCACTTGCCCAAGCATGGACTTGCCTTGTAGTGGGATCATCCTTGAATAACCTCTTCCCATTTAAATACATGTTATATATATATACATAATTATATATAAATATATATATATACATAATATATTAATCAGAATAGCAGTTGATAGGTAAAAATCATCATCAGAATCATGCAACAGATATCTAATCCTCCATCCATCCCCAAAAATTTTCGACGGGCGATGGACCTTGGGCACCGAGACCGTCTCCTCGATGTGGTGTGGCACATGGAGGTCTACCACCTGTTCTACCTCTGCGTGGTGGTGCCGGTGCTGATAGACCACCCGTGGCACGTGCACGATCTCCTCCTGGGTGATGCTGACCGGCACCTAAGGCGGTGCGAGGCGGTTTCCCGGCGTTTCGGAAAATGGGGGGAAGGTCTTTTTGGAGACAGGTTGATAGGATTGATATGTGAACCAGTTTTGAGTGGATTCTCTATAACTATTATAGACATCTATAGACATCAGGTTTGGGTTCAACCATAATTCAAACTACTGTTGCGGATGAATATGATTGAAGTTTCAACTTTTTCAACCCAAGAAATAGCTGGATGTGAGTCAAGGACTATTGGACCTCCACAAACGGATGGATTGAGATGGATTAATACAAAAAATATCCAATTTTGTTACACCAAACAAAAAATGGCCCAATCCATTCATCAAAACATCTAAAAACTCACCACTTAGGATTTGTCAGAAACTGGGGTAAAACATGGTAAAACATCCATTACCATCATTTAACAGCATGGTATAACCCCCAACTCATAGTTTCTTCCGGAAAAAATGGTGACCAGTGGATGGCTCGCGGGCTTGCGCCTCAATCAGCTGTTCCACGGACTGCTGGATGACCCGTTTCTGCGGCAGTTCGACCGGGATTTGGACCACGTCTTCTTGCTGCACTGGCACGGGGATATCAACGAACTGCTCCACCTGGACATCGGTCGCGTTGGTTTGGTCGGTTTTCTCGTGCGAAACTGTGCGAAAATCATCCAGTTAGGTGGTCTTCCAAATTTTTAGCCAGATTTTGAAAAGTTCACCAAGAAAACTCAGTTGTCCGAGCCGTGTCAGCCCTAGCCCAAAGAAAGTCACCTATCAAAAAATTAAAAAACATGCGATCTTCAGATGAAAAATTCTTGGTGTTTCCCTGGTTTCTTAAGGATTTCGTCAAGGCCCAAAAAAACAGCAGCGACGACTCCCTGGCGATGATCCCTGGTTGATCATCCGGGATGGTGTCCCAAGGATGTCATGGGGCTACCCCCAGTTGTTTTCCCATGGAAATCAACCATCCAGCGATAAAGGGGTACCCCCATGACTATGGAAAGCCCCAGAAAAATCGACCAGATATCCCAACTTTTGTTGAAGTTATACACCAACTTAGCGATTCCGAACTCGCACATCACCGTGTTCAAACGATGTTCAAACGCTTGGACCCAACCGTGATGCGGCCCAACCTCCACATGATGATGGACCAACCTTGATCTCACAGACCGTTAAGTCAACTCGACTTTCCCCTATGAATTTGCTGCCAAAACGCCTCTGACATGATGGCTATGGTCATCTGATACGAAAAATCATCCCCTTGTCAATTCTATCATTTTCTAGATATGATATATAACTATTAGTTGCTAACCATTGCTTACTAACCACTAGTTACTAACCAGTAGTTACTAACCATTAGTTACTAACTATTAGTTCCTAGCCATTAGTTCATCATGTTCATCATTCTTCCTGTTTAGTCCCCCGGGCTCCGGAATCCTGGCGATTCCCCCCAACCTCCACATGATGATGCCGATCTTGATATTCCTTCACTGGCACGTGCACGATTTCCTCCTGTGGCTGCGGCACGGGGATGTCGATGAATTGCTCCACGGTGCGGTGTTGGATCCTCTCGTGAACCACCACCTCCACAGTCGGCACGGTCGGGGGAGAGCGGAGGCTTGGCCCAAAAAAAACATAGGGGGTGAAGAATAGAAAATGGAGGTATGAGTTCATTAAACACTCCAAAGGGGTGAACAATAGAAAATTGAGGTGTTTTTTTTCAATGGAGATTTGGCAATCGAAAGAAGGTCTTTAGCCAGAAGAATCGGGTTCCAAAACAACACGCTGGTTGCGATTCCTATAGGTTGATCCAAAAATGGTGAATGGTGAGGTGGTTTACCAAGGCTATCAACCAAAGTGGCAAGCGAAAACAAACGTTTTTTCTGTGTCAAAGCATGTCAAAGGCCGTGAGTCAAAACCTGGTACTGCTGAAGTCACATCAAAATAGCTAATAATAAATTAATAATATATCTGAATGTTCATTCCATGGTATTGTAGATTTTAAGCCATCATGAATGTACACGTTTCAATCCATCTTAATCGGGATTCACATACACATTCGTCCAGGAGTATTAATGATAGGATGGATGACCATAACCTTTATACCCATTCATAGATAATGTTCCCATGGTTCAAATTATACTCAAAAGCAGATTTATGAACGATTTACATCCCCATTCACCATCACCCCGGATGTTTCTTGGATGGTTAGTCGCCTTAATCCCTCTGGTCATCGGCACCATTTAGTGACCGGGGATTTCCCACATTTAATGACCGGATGGTCATCCCTCATGTTCAAGTACTGAAAACCATTGAAATCCCATCGGCCTTGGGGACGTGGATGATCTCTTCAACCAGGTGCTCCAGAGGTTGCTTTAGAACCCTTGGAACTTCCACCACCTTCTCAACGATCTGAACTTCAGGGATTTCCTGGATGATCTCCTGCCAGGGGTTGTTCCTGGGGTGGGGCCGTTTTCCCCCCTTTTTTTCATGGGGAAAAACGTATGGACCAACAGACAAGTTTGGCCACGCATGATGTCATGTTTGGAATCCCTTTGGTGTTGGTCCTATCTTGGCTTCCCCGTTCTAACAGTGACCTCTCTGATCATCACAATCAGTTGGGCTAGATGCCCGAAAAACACAATGCCCTTGACTATCCACTGGCCTGGGCAAGTCCTACGGCGTCCTACGGTGACATGTCCACTTCAAACATCATCCAGGGGAACATCGGAACATGTTCCCCTGGATGTCACAGGTGATACCCTCCAGTAATCAGCTCCATGGCCACTATAGGAAATCCCATAGGAAATCCCAGCCGCGTCCCGTCGCCGGTGGGATTTCCCCCCCACGTCCTGCACTTGCACGTCAGGGACTTCCACAACTTGCTCGTGGACTTCGCCTCGAAGCCGCAAAAAAATGAGAACATCTGGGTGTGTCTGAAAATGTTGTGTGCCCCATTGTACCCAATGGTTTTGCTGATCATTATCCCGTTTTTAAATGGCTATTTCATTGGGAATATACCCTATTTTCAAACAAACCCAGATGTTCTCAGTAGATTCCTCAAAAATTATGGTGATTCTCTGAGATTGGTGGAAGAACCAATGCGAAAATCATCTGCAATTCCAGGAACATGAGGCAGGTCAGTCATCAGAAATTATCAAAACCGCAAGATTGAATTGATTGAATCATGAAAAACGATCTGAAATGAGAGGTTAACCCTGAGAAATAATCTGAACATGCGGTGCAACAATCAAACCAGAAATTGGGGTGCAGCCCTCAAAGACCATCAGAACAGAACACATCAGAAGTTATGGATTTAACCATCAAAAGCGAATCAAAGACAAGGATAATCCACATATGGGATATTAACTAAACTTTCAAAAACATCATAATTTGGTATAAATTGGCTGTCAAACCGCCAAGATGAAGTTCAATCAGTAGAGACCAGGATGAGAAACCAGCTTTGTAAAATGAACGAAACAAAAACATCAAACATGTTTTGATTTATGTTATGTTGTGGGGACACTTCACTAACAATATCTGAGAATATTATGGAATCTTATAATACAAGGCTGATGTACAGTATAGATACATATGCACGTACTGGTATGTACCAAACATGGGGCACCCTCAAATAACAAAACCATCAACTCGTGGACGCGTGAACCCCAGATCACTTCATTGTGCAGCCCTCAACAAAACCCAAGGTTGAAGGTTTCAACATCATCAACATCCTGATGTTTGGGATACAGTAATTTATATATAGTTCCAACATCATCAACATCCTGATGCTTGGGAATTGCAGTTACGGTTCTTATTCAGAGAAGGACCCCTTCACAAGAATCCCAAGCCTTGCGCCCAAGCAGCCGTTCACCAGCTGTTGCTTATGCTCTTGGGTCACCTGTGCAGCGCCATCCACTTCCCGAGTTCGCGAAGTCAGAAATTCGGGCTGTCCCTGTTCCTTGCTGGCCATGACCATGGCATGGTGTTGCGTCACCATGGCGTTCTTGGTATCCTGGCTGAGCTGGGGATGAGTTTCATAAAGCCGGACAGGCGGGACACAACGTGACCAGAAAGTTGTAAAGTTTGAAAGGGGTCGTTCTTCCGCAAAGTCTCGAAACTCGAGAATTCTTTTTTTTTGGCGACTTCAAGGAAACCGACCTGGCCACCCCCCAGTGGCTTGAGCAGGGTAATGAATTATCCCAAAGAACAATCATGTGAATGTCCGGTTTTACAGTAAGTCCGAAAAACTGGCCGCGATCTACATGTTTTTTTTGTGATCAAAATAAAACATTCTACAAATTTATGATATTTATGTAATTTTATGTACATTTATATACAGCATTTACCATCATCTACCCCATTTTGCCACAACTTGCACCCATCAACCGTTCCCCCATGTGCGCATGTCTCAAAAAAAGGTACCAACAACATTCAATGAAGGGCGGGGTATCGTTTTAGGACTGTGAAATGAGACCCCCAGGGTACAAGTGGAATTCAAATCTAATACGTTTCTCATATTTTCCAGGTGAAATTTGCAAGCTACAAGAGAGGTATAAACGAACATTTCACGGAGATACCACGGGAGATAATAGGTGGACATTGGTATGATATAAGAACCGATCTGTGGGCCCCTCAAGCAATTGGAAATCAGTCTTACCGATATACCCTGTATATCCATTCCTCTTGGTTTTATCATCTTTTGTCCCATGTGCTAGGGTCAAAACACGGTATATGATGGTATATGGTCACCCATTCCATTAATGGGGATCCGCATCATGGATATTTAACTCCCTATTAAACGATTGATAAGCACCCCTCAATACGGGGATCTAACTCATGTTTTGACCGTGACATATATATATATATATTCACCATATATTCCCCACAGACATATTTCCCACATCCCCTGATAGAGATCCCCTGATATCCCCCATATCCCCATAAACTGGTTGGCTTTATCATGTCTGATCATGTTTTATCCGACATATTCATCATGTTTCATCATAGATTCCAAACTGGTTGGGTTTATCATGTTTTATCCATTTTATCCCATATATGTGTCATGTATTCACCATAGATTTCCCACATCCCATATTTTCAGAACCCATGTGACTCCTTGACCACTTTGCTGGGCATGGGCACTTGCCTCACTGATCTCACCGGTGACCCCGGCGTCGGCCCTGGAGATTGGCCCGGCAGCCCCAGCGTCGCGGGGGGCGTGGCCTGCGGGGCAAAGCTCACCATGCGAGGTGTCACTGGTGCAGTGCCCATCCTCAGGTGCTGAAACCACCAAAAAAATGTGGAAACTGACTGAAAAATGTTGGGAAATGTGTTGTGGAAAAAAATCTTGCTGAGACCCTAAGTTAGTTTGACTTTGTGGCTACAATCCAAGTGTGGTAAAGCCGACAATGAGGTGTAGATTAGGAGGAAAAAAGGGAGGGATTGTTCCCTGTGGATTCCCGCATGTTTGATGGATTTACCAGCGGAGAAATGGAAAATGATCGACAGATAAAATAGAAAATGCAGCATGTTCCAAGCAGAATTGAATGATAAGTTTAAAAAATGAGGAATAACCGAGTTGAATCAATGAGAAAAATATTGTCAAACATATCACCATTTCTGGGAAAATTGTATAGTATAGGCATCTGCAACAAAGCCGGGTATCAGAGGTGTCGCCCCCACCAAAGTGGTGGGTGTCTCCGAGCATCGCGCCGGCGTAGTGGCTAGTGGTGTGCTATAACCCGCCAGGGGCTCGGGCGTCGACAGCGCCCTGGCCGTCCCGTCCAACGTGGCCAGTTCTGGATGCGTTGCCAGGAAGGCCCCAGTGGAGATGGGCTCCGGAGTGGCCGGAGGCTGAAAGCTGGAGACAGGCGAGCCATAGCTATGCAGCGGGTCCATTGGAGCAGCATATTTCATGAAGGGAACCTCATTGGTGGTACTGGAGAAAGTTGTTGCGAAAGTACTGGCCGGAGTCAGTTCAGCACTCTGCAGAGGTGCAGCATACGTCATGACTGGTCGATCATTGCTTCCAGGCACGTCGTATCTGGTGGATGGGGCCGAGTAGCCACCCATGCCACCCATGCCGGGGGGCATGGCGGCCATGATGCTGCCCGGTGCCTCATAGTTGGTGGCCGGCACCACGCTCTGCGTGGGAGGCACCTCGTAGTTGGTCGAAGGCACACTATAGGAGGTCCCGGGGACAGAATAGCCTGGCACTTCCAGAAAATGGCCCTCCATTAGACAACCGCAGCTACATGGCGCGCGGAACGAGGGTCTGACAGTCCCAGAAGGTGCAACAAAACATGTCCGGAATGGGCTGGAAATTGAAGTGTGGAATCGGGACTTTATCGCAAGGTATGCATGTGTTTTGCGGGCCTGTCGTGTTTCAACATCTATTCTTGCGTCTCAATCAAGTTCAAAGAAGATTGAAAGTTCGGTTGCTTGAAGACTTTTTTTTGATGGAATCTTGCTTGTCATTGCGCAGTACACTCCGTCTGTTCAATGTGTTACTACACTTTCTTTTCAGCTGTGAAGAAAAGTGGCCATGAGACTTTCATCTGGACCCCACCTACCTTCTTATCATCTCCACAATCTACCACAGCAGTGATGGGGGGTGTGATTTCAAGACATCTTTTGTGGCATGTCACGTCTGGGTGTGTCTGAGAATGGGGCATACGGCATACCCCAATTGTTGATTGCCATCAATGGAGAAGATACATGTTCCAACTGGGCCCTACTACAGGGATACTTGGACACCACAACTCAGGACTCGGGACTTAATGGGTGATAGCCAACACCAAAAGCCAGTTTCAATCCTCTTGTGGGTGAAATTCAATCCGGCCATTAAGATGTGTGATATAATTTTCGGAACCATCCCAAATTCGGACTTAAACACCAGGAATAAAACTTGAAGCGCCAATCAGTTTTGGGGGTCGTCTAGAACTCTCTCCACATCCTGAACCTAATTTGGGAATTTGGGCACAGGTCACAAAGTAAAACTTGGATACCCAACAACATCCAACAACTGGACACCAGGAAACCTTTGAAGGCGTCTTTTTGGCCCTCCGCAATTTGGGGCACAGCACCTCTATCCACATGGAGCTCCACCTTGAGGCGTGCCAGCTCCCGCCGCGTGGAGTCTGTCAGGCGGTTTCCGCGCAAGTCCAAGGTGGTGAGGTTCTCCAGGTCGAACTGCGTAGCATTCAGCGTTCTCAGCTTGTTGTGACTCAAGTCGATCACTGACAAGTTCAGTCCCTCGAAAAGAGCAGGAGGCAAATCGTCCAAGGCATTTTGGCTCAAGTTCAGCAGCTTCAAGGAGCTCAAATTCCTTGAGCACAAGCCGGGGCAGGGATAGATGCTGCTTAGCAACCCTAAATGGTTTCGGTTTCCAAATGGCATGGAACATTCACCTAGGAAACCTGATTTTCAAAACTGGGTCCAAGAATATTAAACCTTCCACTGACTCCCTGCAATTACCTCTTCAGAGGCCTGTTGACAAGCCTTGAACGATTGAGGGGTGAATAATCGTGAATAGCTCACAAATTTGTAACTCTTTGAGGGAAAAGAATTTGAATAGGCCCACTCAATCTCCCCAACCGGACCGCACGTCAGGTTCTCAACAAATCAAGTCAAATCGTTGAGGCGCCGTCAAAATCTATTAGTATTTGTGAACCTTGTGTACATATTTGATAAACCACTGTCCTTGCAAACTGCGCAATCTTACCGGAAAACATTGGGAACCGGGACGAATTCTATTTAAAACTGCTCCAAATCTTCAGAACTTTTGCAGTCCGCAAGAATTGTGCCTGAAGTGTGAAATTGTCACCAATTTGGACTTTCAAGAAAAAATGATGTTATTATTTATTTCAGAGGATTGAGTCTTTCATCGCAAACTCTTTGGGAAATTCTATAAACATCTATAATGAACACCCAATGAACCTTGCCAAGGGTCTGAAACAGCTTTGGCGGAAGTCTCACCAGCTGATTGCTCTGCAGCTGCAGATTTCGGAGTTTCCTGAAACCTTTGAAGAGGCCACCGGGCAACGTTGTGAGCCGGTTGCCACCCAGCTTGAGATCCAACAAGATCCGCTCGTACCGGTGATCATCAAACACATCTTCATCCAGATCTGTCAGCTGGTTCTGCTCCAGGTTCAGCTCTTCCAAGGAGTACAACCAGTAGAAGGGTCTGTCGTCAAGGCTCCGGAGCCGGTTGCCTTCCAGCCTCAGGCTACGAAGAGTCGTGCGCAGATAAAATGCACCTGACGAGAGCGTCACCAACTCGTTCTCCGACAGGTCCAGGCTGCGAAGATACCAAAGACCATCAAAAACCTTCTCCGGAAGCGTGGACAGCTTGTTCTCCGCCAGGTCGAGGATCTCCAAACGCCCAAGCTTCAAACCGTCAAAGACCTTTGGAGGCAATTCCTGCAACTTGTTCTGAGACATGTCCAGGATGCTTTCCCGACCAAAGGTGAGATTTTGAAAGGTCTCTGCATGTAGTTGGACAAGATTGTTTTGTTGTAGGTATAGTCGGTTGAGCTCAAGACCCTCAAAGACTTTTGGAGGCAAATCCTGCAACTTGTTCTGCGACATGTCTAGGATGCATCTGTAACAGTACCGACCAAAGGTGAGACCTTGAAAGGTTCCTGCATGTAGTTGGAGAATATTGTTGTTTTGTAGGTACAGTCGGTCGAGCTCAAGAGTGTCAAAGACCTTTGGAGGCAATTCTTGCAACTTGTTGTGCGACATGTCCAGGATGCTTTCCTGACCAAAGGTGAGATTTTGAAAGGTCTCTGCATGTAGTTGGACAAGATTGTTTTGTTGTAGGTATAGTCGGTTGAGCTCAAGACCCTCAAAGACTTTTGGAGGCAAATCCTGCAACTTGTTCTGCGACATGTCTAGGATGCATCTGTAACAGTACCGACCAAAGGTGAGACCTTGAAAGGTTCCTGCATGTAGTTGGAGAATATTGTTGTTTTGTAGGTACAGTCGGTCGAGCTCAAGAGTGTCAAAGACCTTTGGAGGCAATTCTTGCAACTTGTTGTGCGACATGTCCAGGATGCTTTCCTGACCAAAGGTGAGATTTTGAAAGGTCTCTGCATGTAGTTGGACAAGATTGTTTTGTTGTAGGTATAGTCGGTTGAGCTCAAGACCCTCAAAGACTTTTGGAGGCAAATCCTGCAACTTGTTCTGCGACATGTCTAGGATGCATCTGTAACAGTACCGACCAAAGGTGAGACCTTGAAAGGTTCCTGCATGTAGTTGGAGAATATTGTTGTTTTGTAGGTACAGTCGGTCGAGCTCAAGAGTGTCAAAGACCTTTGGAGGCAATTCTTGCAACTTGTTGTGCGACATGTCCAGGATGCTTTCCTGACCAAAGGTGAGATTTTGAAAGGTCTCTGCATGCAGCTGAGACAAGTCATTGTCTTGTAGATAAAGTCGGTCGAGCTCAAGACCGTCAAAGACCTTGGGAGGCAATGTCTGCAACTTGTTCTGAGACATGTCCAAGGTGCCGTGAGAATAAAAGGTGAGACCATGAAAGGTGTCTGCATGCAACACCTGCAACTTGTTTAGGGACATATTCAGGATGCCGCCCGTATGAAATCTGAGACCATGGAAGGTTTCTGCATATAATTCTTGCAGTCGGTTCTGCGACATGTCCAGGATGCCGCTCTGACCAAATTGGAGACTATAAAAGGTCTGTGCATAAAAAGTCTGCAACTTGTTCTGCGACATGTCCAGGATGCCCTTGTAAGCAAAGGTGAGCCCATGAAAGACTCCAGGTGGAAGCGTAGTTAAACCATTTCCTTCCAAATGCAACTCGCGTATCACAGACAATCCTCCGGAGGAACCGGCTTGAAACAACCCTGGGGGAAGAGTCGCGATTCTATTGTCAGCCAGGTCGACAGTGTCAATGTCAGGAGACCCCCAATCGTCCTCCTCCTGTTGCAGAAGATCGCGAAAAAGTCCCTCTGGCAGCTCTGTCAAATGGTTTCCACGCAAGGAAACAGATCGTACTCTTTGGTGTTCGCCCCTTGCAATGAATGCATCTGGCAGAACTTTTGTGATGTTCCGATTCGTCAAGTTGAACTCAAGCATGTCAGGAGCACCCTGCGCAACATAGCCAATGGGAATCACGCAGCGTTCGAGTAGAAGCGATGTTGGGGCGACAGCTGCGCATTGGCAAGGGGGACACAGCCCATCATGACTCGTGAAGGCACCAAGGACAATGCCCCCAAGCAGAATAGAAACAAAAGCCACATATGCCGTGGAGAAAAGAATTCTCTTCCAGGCTTTGCCGGTGGGGGGAGCACGCGGGACTTGGAAAAGCGCGATCCAATCTGCAGTCTCCAAAGATCGACACACGCACAACACATGTGCGACGCAGATGTAGATTGACATGTAATTTAAGAAACTGCTCAAAAAAATGTCGGTCAAATAATTTGTGGCAAAGACAACGTATAGCCAGATCGAGGTCACCATGTAGCCGACATCCAAAACTGCATCGAGCAAAGCTGCACCGACACGGCTAAAGACATAGTTCGGTATCACAAGAATCATGGCTGGGAAGAGGATGTTACACAAAAGAAGCACGATGAAGCAGCTGACAGCGCTGCTGGCCCACAAGGCTTCAGAGCCATGGGTATCCTGGATGGTCCGGAATAGACTGGTTTTGGCAAGCCCTTGCGTCATGACTGTCAAGAACTGTAGGGCTGCAACTTTGAAGGCGTAGTGGCATCCCTGTACACCCAAATACCTCCTATACCAGAGTTGGGTTGGCCGTGGACGAATCTTGAAGCTCCTTCGACGCTTGCAGCAGCAAAGACAGCAGCAACAGCACTGCATCTCCCACAGAAGGATAAGAAAACATGTCAAGAAGGGCAAATTCATGGCCAACATCCTCACATCACAATTGTACTCACACCAGTCCAGACCAAAAAATAGGGACCAGTTCATGCTGTGACCCCAGTCATCATCAGGGACGCCAATCCGTCCGCCAATGACGTAACACGAGAAAAGTGCCACCAGTCGCAGGAGGGCCGTGGCCGCAAACACGCACCTGGGGACCGTAGCATCACGTTGGAGCCGAGAAACTTCCCAAGCTGATGCCTTGGTCTTGTCTAAAAGACCTAGAGAATCCGCTGCGTCAGAGAGGCCTTTCTGAGCCTCCCAAGAACTCAGAGATTTCTCCAGCAAAACAACTGTGGTCAAGTAACCCTGGAGAGACACCACAACTTTACAGTTTTTTTTGTAAGATGCAACTGCGAAAAAATCACGAGCAGAGACGATTTCCACACCATCCAAGTCTTTCAGCATGTCCCACGCATCTTGGACTTCCTGCAGACTGTCACACCAGACTTCGCAAAACAAAATATCCGCGCCTCCTTCCCTCTTGTCCAGCTCTGTAAGGGATTTGATCTTAGCAATAACTTCTAGTCCTGTGTTTGCAAGTGGTTCACAAACAACAGTCTGAAAAAGATTCATGTGACATTTGGCTAGCTGATAATTGCTCTCTAAGTCTTGTTCGGTCTGTAGCAGCTCTTGCGATGAGCTGTCTGAATGGCTCCTCAGTATGGTCGACACCTGCACCAAATTGTCGCTGGTTTCTGCCGTAGGCTGCAGCACTTGAAAGTAGCTGGCTTCAGTGGCAAGCGCCATGTTGAAGACGCTCTGTTGCATGCCATCCAAGCGCTTGGCGGTGTACAAACAAGTGCCAACGGAAACGACCAGGAATGTGACGCAAATAGAAGCTGCTGACATGCCAGTGCTTTCCTCGAGAAAAATGCAGGTCACTGGAAGCAACGACACTAAAATCACCAAAAGCAAAAATCTGCTTTGGATCTCTGCCGCTGCTTGAATGGTGAGAAGGAGGACCAACTCCGACCAGCCCAAGGTTCTCACTACTGCAGCGGATAGTTTCCTTCCAAAACGATGGAAGCGATGCTTGTGGCAAAAGCCATGTCGATTGGGGTGGAAGGTGCTGCAGTTTGTTTCACTGCAAGGGAAGGGCAGATCTGGACTCATCTCCTGAAACTTCGCAGCATCAAACCTTGCTCTTGCTCTGGGGATGGCATCCTCCGGAAGATTTTTGCCTCCGAACATCTGAAACCAGGCAGGTTCAACTTCTTCGATGCTGATCCATTTGTCCGTGTGGCGCCAGGGCCACCCGTGGACAGAGTTGTAGATGCCTTGCCTGGGCTCGGAGTTTTTGGAAGAGAAGAAACTCTTCAAGTTGACTTCTAATGGCGTCTACTACATATATAAACATATGCATGGATGTATTTGCAAGGGAATTTCCTACAGATAAACATATGCTATACATATAGATGGGTTCGAACCACGTACTTCAATTTGGTTCGAACCATGGTTCATACATGCTAATACTGGTTTATAAGAATTTCCGTAATCAAACCTGCCATAAAATTGGATCCCCCGCGCCAAAGCCAGGTGTCCCAAAATCCCCATGGGTTGATCGATGTTGGCAAAAAAGGTCGATACTTAAAGTGTTTTAAAGATGTTGATGGATGCTCCTGGAAGTTCAGGAATGTATCATGGATGTTAATGATTGTTCATGAATGTCAATTCATGTTAATGGATGTTAATGGGCAGTGTTTGCATTGACACGTTGGTGTGGAAACGAACACGGCGGGCACAACTGGCCAAGGTGCTTGGCAGCCTTTGCCAACTTGGGACATCTGTGCACATGCAGAACCAGTTCTCTCAGCCCGTCACAGTTGCGTCTCAAGAGCAGTTGCAGCTCCTGGTTCAGCCACCGGAAGCCAGTCATGGTTTGTCTTTGCTTGCGGAGCAGCTTGAGCACCTTTTTGATTTGGGGCTAAAGAAGCCTGCGGTAGGAGGTGGTTGTTGCCTACCACAGTCATGTCAGTTGTCTCAGATACTACTCTTGATCATAGCCAAAAGGTCAGCATCTAAAATACTCCATGCACTCCCCCTTTGGCAGTTTGCCGAACTTTTTGGGTGCACGGTGCCAGTTCGGCTACGAAGGTGGTCAAAACGCCCTGAGTCTTATCTTTGACAGACTCCCCTGGCTGCCACCATTCCATTGTCGGCCTTAAACACTAGGCCTTCAAAAGGTCTCTACTGGTCTTAGAGACGAGACCACGTGCAACCCTACGGGCCTTAAACACGAGGCCTTGGAAAACTTCTGTGGGCTTTAAAGACTAAACCCGTCACTATCGGCCAGTCAGGCCCAAGGCTTCTCTCACCTGTGCTCTTCATGGACGAACTCCTCATCCGCGTTGTAGTTCGGATCGTCCTCATGGCGTTCTTCTTCTTCATTTTCCAGGCCATGCGCTTCAGGTCCGTCAACGTCACGGCCTGCATCTTCTTGGTCCTCAGTTGCTGGACCTTCTGCTGCATCATGACCTTCATGGTCTTCTTCAGGGATCACCTCGAGCTCCACCTCGACGTAGTCCCCTTCATCACCATGTTCTTCTTCTTCTTCAACCTCCTCTTCGTAGTTTTCTTCTTCATAATTTTCTTCTTCATAGTTTTCCTCTTCAGGACCTGCTTCTGGGTCAGATCCTTCTTCTTCTGCAGCTGCATCTGCATGAGCTCGGCTTGTCTTGCCCTTGCCCTTGGCCTGGAGAAAGTCACGGTAGACCTCCAACCCCAGATTTGCAGCTCCTCTTCTCACTGGTGCTGCACTTGAGCTCGAAGGTGCTGCGCTGGAGCTTGAAGCGCCAGTTGGCGGGTGTAGGATTGCATCCGCATCCAAGTACTGGTTCACTGCCACAGCCGCCTCCTCATAGGCTGCTTCTGCCCCCTCGCTGCCATTCCCATGGGTGGCCACGGCGCTTTCAGCTCGCCGTACTGCAGCGGCTGCCCGGCTCAGCAGTTGCAGTTCGGCCGCTGGGTTTGCGCCCTTGCCCTGCAGGACGATGCGGCCCCCACTGCCTTTGCCCCCTTGGTTGGAGACGCGAAGTGCCCTTGGCTGCTTTCCCTTCGCATAGATGCGCTGCCATCCCGTCGTAGGGCTCGTCACCGAGTGGGTTATGGTGGAATCCTCACCCCTGGTGCCCTTGCCACGACGCTCCGGCCACCATCTGACCGTGTGGCCACGCCCCTTTCGGAGCTTCTGGGGCTCCCATGCAGAGCTCTTGCCGACCTGGAACTTGTTCTTCCGTCCCATCAGCTCATCGGACCTTCTTTTCATCCGATACATGAACTCCTGGGTCGCCGTCCCTTCCACAGAGTCATCCTCATCGTCCTCTGCTTCAGGTTCTGGGCTTGCTCTGTCATTGCGCCGTGGGTCATCCCCGTCTCCAGGGCCATCTCGTCCACCGTCACCACCAGTTGCAGCCATCGCCCCATGCCTAGGGTCCCGCTGAAGAGGACGAGCCTTAGGTCGCAAGGGCATGTGCTCGTTTTGAGCTGCACTGGTTTCGTCGTACTGCACCTCCAAGATCTCAGCCTCTGAGGTGCTCGACAGTGTTCTCGACGGTGAAGGCACCCTTGGTGTCGATGGCGGAGTTCCCCCACATATTGGTCCAGCGCCAGCCAACCTGAGGATTCTCTGTAGAAGAGATTCTCCAGCATCTTCTCCTCCACCTTGTTCTTGTTGTTGTTCCGGCGGCGGTGCAGGAACTTCTCGTCGAGGCGGACTTACCATCCTTGCTGGTGGTGGTGTCGGCATTCCGGCTTTTGCCCTTGACTTCGCCATTGCCATCGCCAAGTCATGCCGAACCACATCGCCCGGTGTGCGAAGATCCACTTCAGGGCCGCCACGCTGTCGTTCCAACCATGCCGTCGCTTCTGCCAGTTCTTCAGGAGACCTATATCTCACTGGCCCAAGGTCCAGCGACATGCTTTGTTGCGCTGGTGCTTGCCCTTGTAGTCCTGGATGAAAGCCTTGAGGTCCTCTTGGAGGTCCTTGGTGTTGTTGCCCTCCACATCCAGGTGAAAACCCTTGTTGTCCTTGAGGTGCTTGTGGTCCATGGTGACCTTGTTGCGCCCCTTGCCAACGAAAGCCAGGACAACATCCACCTCTCCAAACTCCAGCATATCCCTGCGGAGGTGGTGCCGGCAAATCCGGCTGTGGTGGCGGCATCCCGTGCTTTGGGTCCTTTTGGACCGTTTTGGCCCTTTTGTCTTGCGGCTGCTCTTCATCCGTTTTGGGCATCTCACACTGCCATGGAGGTGCTGGTGGCAACCTTTTCATCATCTGTTGCATTTGCACCCACTCCTCATCCGTAAGCGGTCCAGATGCCGATGTCGTTGTGCTCCTCAGCACTGCTTCTCTGGTTGCACCTCTTTCTTGTTGTAGAGCTCTGCGGGTTATTTCTCGTTCCAGCCATGACCTCCGCAGTGTTGCTTGGCGCAAGTTCTCATTCTTCTCCTTGCGCTCCTTGTCCCATTCTTCGTAAGAGAGGATTCTTCGGCCCGCCGCCTTCGCCTCGGCAAACTGCCTTTTCGTCTCCTCCTCGGCAGCTTTCCAATCCACCGAAGATGGCGACGGCGTCCTTGGTTGAGGTTCTTCTGTCACCTCAGCTTTGTCTTCCTCAGATTTTCTGTTCTCCTGAGGTTCCTTTGACTCTGGTAGGTCTACTTGTCCAGGAGGCTTCCCAGCTGCTTGCCGCTCTTGCCGCTCTCGTTGTAGACGTCGAAGGTATGCCATCTTTTCATTCCTTGTTTTTCCTGCGTTCTGCAACTCCTTGACATCCCTTTCCAACTGCGGCGCTTTCTTTTTCACCCGTACCCTGCGGTACTTCTTCATTTTTGGCCCCTCTTGTTCCCGGGGCTCATCTCTTTCAACTTCTTCTTGATGTTCAGCATCTGCAACCTCTTCTGGGTGCGCGGCTTCTTCTGGGCGTTCGGCTTCTCCTGGGTGTAGTTCATCATCCAGCATGATGACCCTTCTGACACCCTCCTCCTTTTCTTCAGGCGTCCGTGAGGCCGGTCTCAAGGTTACCCGCGAAGCCGGTTTGAGGCTTATTCTTTTTGGCTTCGGTTTCCCCGGGCACCTTTTATTCACTTCACCAGGTTCACTGCGGTCTCTTGGATCTTCTCGATCTCCTTGCCGACCATGATCCCCTTGGTCTTCTCCAGGTTCACCGTGGCCACTTCGATCTTCACGATCTTCTTGCCAACCACGGTCACCTCGGTCTTCTCCACCATCGCTCATCACTGCAAAGAATCGCAGAGCAGGTGGAGGTTGTCCGTCTATATTTGAACCAGGCCGCAACGAAGTCAAAACTGCAACCCGTTCACCATCAAAACTTTGCCAATCACCGGCAACATGTCCCAACGAAGTTCCCCTTGTGATAGTACTCATGTTTTGGGTTTCTGAGGACATGGTGCTCCCTTTTGGGTAACCCTTTCTGTTTGGGGACATTTTTTGAAACCCTGATACTAACCCGGAGCCCTTACCTTTTCCACTCCAACTGCTGTCCTCGAGTCTGTCATGTCGGTCTTGTTTGACCCTTTTGGTCCGTCTCCTTCGGATCAAGCCCTTCGGGATGTCCATCAAATCCAAGCTCATCTCCCCCTCATCCGCGACCAGTCGTGTCGATGCCGAAGTCACCGACGATCCCATGGCACCATCAGCGGATGAAAAAAGAGACATCGCCCGAAGTTGTGGTCCCTGACCTTGACCACCAGGATCATCATCTTCGACCAACTCGAAGCTGCCATCGCCCTCAGCCTCCTCATCCAGCTGCGTAGTGGCAACTGGTTGGGTACTGCTCTGGCTTGAAGTGGCAGGTTGTTGAGGTTCTTCTGGGAGTCGCTGAAGAAACAACGTGTAGCCCGTCCAACCAGTCGTTTCCCAAGATTCAGACCAGTTGTCAGCCACTTCACTGCGTCTTCCATTTCCATGGATCACCGTGAGTCTCCTTCCCAAGAGATTGCCTGGAGCTCCTCGGTGAACTGGATGGAAGCTTCGTCTTCTTGATGTCCGGTGGTTTCGCATCACCACCCGATACCTCTTGCCAAAGAGCTCCACAACATCCATGTAGTGCCATCCATCTTGAACCCGTGGAGGTTGTGTGAACAGCCAGTTTTCTGCAACCCTTCGAAGAGCCTCATCAACTTCATTGTCAGTTGGTTCTCGTGGTGGAGCTCCTGGAGGTTGCCGTTGTGGATATCCTTGTTGGCCTATTGAGCTGCTAGAGGAAGCACCTTGTTGTTGTTCACGTTGAACTGCTTGATGAATGCTCCCCCGTTCAGCAGCAA